GTGGCGTATGATGACATAATCACGTAATGCGTCCTATCACACGAAAGATGTGTGTGTGCTTGAGCTTATGGCCTTTCAGAGGTGTCTCTAGCCAAAACACAACCTGAGATCTGCTGTTGCAGCTAAAGGGAAGCGTGACCACTCAGCAGCAGAAACACGAAAATGAGGAAATACACACGCACAGACTTTGACCGATCCCAGCCTTCCCAGAGAGACAAAACCCGAAAATCCCATATCGTCATTTTTCTTAAGTTGTTTTCTTCAAAATGAGCCTAATTTCACTTTTCTCTGAGCTTGCATGACCAAGCGGGACCCTGACATGTCCTGCTATATCAAATAAAAGCATGTGCTGATTTAGATGCACTTAGATAAGCTTTCGCAGATTTTTCTTCCAGTCCCGATGACGTCATCCTGGATGAGTCCAGAGACATGTCGATCAAGCCTGTCAGCCAATCACAGACTGAGATCTGCCACATCCAATTTAAGGACATACACCTCGAATACGCAGTGCGTCTGGAAAATCAAATCCATACAAGAGAAAAAGCACTGATCAGACGAGGCTCAGAACACTAACTCAAGCAAAATGATATATCAATCTTTTTCTTGCCTTGTTTTCTTTAAAATGAGCCTGTTTCCAATCGTCTGTGTGCATGCATGACCTAACAGTGTCTCAGCCATTTAATGTTTTGAAGTTTGATAGAGTTTTGTCGCCATCTGCAGGGTGCCATTGCCTAATGCATGGTATTAAAGTAAAGGTGAGACTCTCGTCTGTATTTTAAATCCAGTTTTAGGCCTCTCGGATGATCCTCGGCCAGGGGTGTCCAATAGGGTTGGGCATCTAAGCTATAATGCCGATCCGATACGCATCTCGATACAAAGAATACGATCCGATATATTAGCGGTGCATTTGTGACATATTGCGATGCAACACGATACGATTCACACCCATATCACGATACGATGCGATATTTCAGCACTAACTAATTAGATCAAGTTTATGAGATGATGTGAAAGAGGATGCTGTGCCATTGAATGAGTTTGATTATTTATAAACCAAGCAAAACCAAGACTTTTTTTTACAAACTGGCTCTTCTCTCAGAGCCAGAGTGTCAGTTTACAGTAGAGGGCCATTTTAAAACATATAGCACATATTATTTAAGTATTTTCAAGATAAACAGAATGTATAAGTGCAATATATATTAAAAAATATGTATATATTTGCACTCTTTCAACATAAATAAATGTAGCATTGCACAACAAGAATTGTGATTAAACTTTTCAACTATGAAAACAAGTTTTACAAAGATATATTTTGCCACTGATTATTCAAAACTTAAGGTGGTGAACTAGCAGTGTTATGCTGCTTTGAAACATCACTGTCACTGTAAACAACAGGCTAATAAAAATATAACAAACCAGCAATCTTCTTGCTGTGAGGTGGTCAAACTACCCACTGTGCCACCGTGACACCCAATTATTTTTATCATTATTATTATTAATATTATTATTATTATTATTAAATAAAAATTAACAGGAGGAGGTGTTTAAAACCTTCGTTCTCCGTGACACTAGGCTGAATATCTTTGCAGATGAACAATGCAATAGCATTCGTTATTGGCGTAGAGCGAGCAGAACTGTTGCGCATGGAAAAAAAAATTTGCAATGCTTTTCTCACCACTTTTGAAGCTGGTTGAAGCAGTGCGAAAGCCGGGGATGCAGAAACACTGGAAGATGCTTCCACAACAACACCGCGGCGCCGCTTCAAGTGAGATATCAGATTAGTCGAACTGCCCACGTATTTTGCAGATGCGCGGCACATTTTGCAAATTGCATCTGTCCTGTCATGTCGTCCATCCTTAAATCCACAATGTTGCTTGCCATACTTTAGATTTAAAACTCAGTGGGGAATAAAATGTTTGTTTTGCTTCTCGCGCTTTCTGAGGGCGCACCACTAGCTTCATCCGCACACCTCATACACTGAGTTGTAGTGAAAGTGTACACATCCGCAAATCCGTTGCTAAGGCTTACTTTATGTAGGTCGATTAAATTATGCGCCAAAAACAGGTTGACAACACTTGTTAATAAATAAAAAATACATTCTATATTAAAAATATAAGCTGTATCTCGGAAAAATCGATGCATCTCGCAAAAACCGATGCATCTCGATTTGCTTCCAAAATTTCATTCATCCTCTGCTGCTCAACCGATGCACTCGCATCGTGAACACGCATGACCGCGTATCGATACATATCGGTTAATCTTCCCATCCCTAGTGTCCAAACTTGGGCTGCATCCCAAACCGACTACTACTCAGTTGGTGCTGCATTTGAATGTAAACGTAGTACTCGGCCGTTAGAAAAGTGCGTTCTGTACAGGATGAATGTGAAAAGTGTGAATGGATTTCAGACGTACTACATCCGCCATTTGCGTCGCTTCACTCCCGTCCATGAATTCGCTCGCGGGGCATTATGGGATAGCGCAGCATGCATGGGATGCGCACTGCAGAATCTCGCCGGAAGTAGTTAGTCATCCGGGAACTTCTTGCTTCTATGTATTCGGACATACTACTCGGCTCGCATACTGATTTTAGCGTACTATATAGTATGGAAGTATGTGGTTTCAGACGCAGCCTTGGTCTTGGAGAGCCGGTGTCCTGCACAGTTCAGCTCCAACCCCAATCCGACACTCCTGGGCTAGCTGATCAAGCTTTTACTAGGCTTTCTAGAAACATCCATGCAGGTATTTTGAGGCAAGTTGGAGCTAAAATCTGCAGGACAGCGGCCCTCCAGGACTGAGTTTAGACACCCCTGTCCTACGCTAACATATATAAATAAATCTCTCGCTAAAAAAAGCAAAAAATTTAAATTCATTACTGCGTATTTTTTAAAGTTCAGAGTGTTTTCTGTAATACGAGACCATTTTCATGCATTTATTCCAATGTGTTATTGTTGTGGAGCGTCGCGTACACTGTTAATCCACACGTGACTCCAGCTGCGCTCTCACAGAGAGAAAATGAAAACAAAACTTCACTGCAGCAAACTATAAAAGCAACACTTCACGCTTGTTTTGCCAACACAACGAGGCGTCTCTGTCGTCTAAACACTCTGACAGTAATGAATATTAATGAAGTTGCACAATAGAGCGCGCTGATTGGTTTGAACCAAGCTTTACTCATGCATTAATGCAGCACACTGTAAGACGTAATAAGACACACTCTGGCACAGACGTCCAGTCTGCACGCTGGAATACACGCTATTATCTCATGACCGTGACGCAGCTTCAAAAATTTGTTTCAAACCGGAAGTACGAATTTGCTTGAAATAACGCAAAAACAACCAATTTACACTTTTTAGTGAGATATAGGTGTCCTAATAGTGTTTATAGCAGTGTGGGACACATATACCACTGTCAACAGCTCAACATGTGTTCTGGTGTTTCGTGACCCTTTAATAAAACAACAAGAGTGATGACAGCAGCTGTACAGCCATCATGACCACAGCGCTCACTGCAGGGATGATGTCACACATCCTGTAACTATAGCGACCGCTCTGACTGTAATAATGATGCCGTGCGTGATCACGGGTGATGATGCAGGTGTGTTTGCTGCTGTTGTTTACGTCTGGTTTGCCTGCAGCGTGAGCGTCAGACGCAGAAGGAGGAGGCGCAGGAGCTCACAGAGAAGCTGGACCAGCAGTGGAGAGACATCCAGAGCCTTCTGGCCCACAAGACCCCCAAAGCAGAGCGCAGAGAGCAGCCCGACAAACCACAGGTGAGTGTGTGTTATAACTGTGTGTGTGTGTGTGTGTGTGTGTCGTAATAGATATGTGTGTGTTGTAATGTGTGTATGTGTGTGTTTCAGCTGGACCCGTATGATATGGCGGTGCGTGAGCTGGGCTTCGAGATGAAAGCTCAGCCCTCAGAGAAGCTGAAGAGTGCAGAAGAAGAGGCCAGAGAGCAACAGCGCCGCCTGCAGGACCTGGAGGTGCAACACTCAACACAACAGTACATCACAATACACACACTGCACAACACAATACAACTCAACAGAACTCTGCTCTACACTACACATCACAACTCAACACTGCACAACACTGTGCTATTCTGCAGATCACTCACTGAATCGTGCCTGCGTGCGTGTGTGTGTGCGCGCGTGTGTGTTTTTGTCCCGCAGGCCGACAGACTGAAGAGGATGATGGGAGAGTCAGAGGCGTCCGCTCACACACACACACACATCTCTGCTGACGACATTAATGATGGATTCATACTGGATGGAGACAAGCGCAACACACTCGCATACAAGGTAACACACACACAAACACACACACACACACACACACACTTACGCTCGCTCTTAACCAGAAGGCTGTTGGTGCGCGCTGATTATTCTTACTGTCTGCAGGACGGGAAGTGGAGCATGGGGGCTGAGGAAGAGGAGGAGGAGGAGGAAGATGAAGCAGCAGCCAGTGGAGGAGGAGAGGAGGAGGAGGAGGAGGAGGAAGATAAAGATGCTGAAGGAGAAGAGGAGGAGGAGGAAGATGGTGAAGATGATGGTGATCTTCAGTCTGAGGGTGCTGAGGATGATGATGGTGATGAAGATGAAGAGCAGCTCAGAGATGAAGATGAGGAAGATCCTCCAGCAGAGACTGAAGAGCAGAAGACAGAAGCTCAGGAGGCTGCTAGAGTTGAGCTGCCATACACATTCACAGGTACACACACACACACACATACACATTTACAGGTACACACACACACACATACACATTTACAGGTACACACACACACACACACATACACATTCACAGGTACACACACATACACATTCACAGGTACACACACACACACACACATTTACAGGTACACACACACACACATACACATTTACAGGTACACACACACACACACACATACACATTCACAGGTACACACACATACACATTCACAGGTACACACACACACACACACACACACATACACATTTACAGGTTCACACATACACATTCACAGGTACACACACACACACACACACACACACATACACTTTCACAGGTACACACACACACACATACACATTCACAGGTACACACACACACACACACACACATACACATTTACAGGTACACACACACACACACACACACATACACATTTACAGGTACACACACACACACACATACACATTCACAGGTACACACACACATACACATTCACAGGTACACACACACATACAGACACACACACATATACATTCACAGGTACACACACACACATACAGACACACACACACACACACACATATACATTCACAGGTACACATACACAAACACATATACACATTAACAGGTGAGGACACACACATAGACACACATGTATATAATACACAAATACATGCGCGCACACACACACACATATAAAGGTGTATTATGCATGTGTGTGTGCTGTGTGTGTTATTCATGTTTGTGTCATTATCTGTATTATTAATATTTTGTCTATTGTGTTTGTGTGTTTTGGGTTTATTATAAGTGTGTATTTTACTATATATATAGTGTGTGTGTGTGTGTGTGTGTGTGTGTGTGTGTGTGTGTGTGTGTGTGTGTGTGTGTGTGTGTGTGTGTGTGTGT